AATTATGTAAAAAATCATGTGTAACCTTTATTTTACTTTTAGTAATTTTAGATTTTGAGGATTGGAACTCAAAACGCCTTGAGTCTTATGCCTCACCTCACCAGCAAAAATGCTTTAATATCTAATTGTGCAATTTTAAACATTGTTTCACAGAACTTTTTTCTATGTGACTTTTGGTCTTAGTCAAATTCTTTTTAATCTTTTCGCTTTAATTTTTTCTAGTTATCTTTTTGATGATGCATTATCCACCTTTTGTGCATGTCTGAACCACATATCTATGATTTCCACGTTAATTTTGTATGTCCATCTTATTGACGCGTTTGCCTTTTTTTGCACATGGCCAAATCACTTCATATTTATTTTTACCAACTTATCATTAATGGATGATTGGGTGCTATTTCCAATCACTTCAAGATAGTAATTTATCAATTAACGCTTCTTTGCTTTGTAGCACGTCATCACTTTTAGATAATTATTTCTCAATTAAATTTTTCTTATTTTGCAACACATTGTCATATTAAAATAATAATTTCTCTGGTTCATATGGCTAATTTTGTCTAAAAGAACTTTTGTTAATTTTATCTTTGAACCATGGTTTAAAATTGCGTAATATGAGGCTCGCCTTGAGGCCTGCCTTTGCGCAATTCGAGTGAAAAGCGCCTTGAGGCTTACGCCTCAAGTTTTTTTCATGAGGCTTGCGCCTCAACTTGGTTGAGGCCCGCCTTAAGGCGCGCCTCGCCTCACTGGCGTGAGGCTTACGCCTCGCCTCACGAACGAAAAATGCCTCAATACTCGATTACGCAATTTTAAACATTGCTTTGAACCTCAATAATATTCTCTCATTGCATGATCCTATCATGGCATTTTATTTTAATTATGACCTAGCCTTAATTTTAAAAGTCATTCTATTATATTTGAACCTCTCACCTAAATGTGCTTTCCTTACTAACAATTTTTAATATTTATATTTTTGAGTATGTGTAGTATATCCAATCATTGTTTTGATAATACAGTCCTTTATATTTCAAAAAATTTCCATAGTTTTCCTGCTTCTCATTTATTTTAGGTCTTACATATTCGAACTATATCTTCAAAAAGCATACAACTAGATATCTCATATTCATCATCTCTTTTAACAAGCTTAATATAAAAATGTGAGCTCTTAAAATGTAATGTGAGTTATGAAATTTTAGAGGTGATGCAAATGAATGCGACATGTTCATTGTGGATGGGCGCGGTGTAATCTTTGCTTTTCAGGAAAAAGTTATACCGAGAAAGAATCATTTGGAGGGTTAAATCAGATTGTTTTACTTAATTATACTAATTTTATAAAATCCAAATCTATCAAGGGGGGCAAAAAATGTCATTCTCCAGCACATGCCCTCTATCTCTAAAGATAAAATCATTGAGCTAGTCTATTAGATCAAACTTGGTGATGGGTATTTTAAGGGAAACTTTAGGGAGATTGCTTTAAGTGCTATTGCTAGACCCTCTTTTGGTTTGGTTCTCTTTGCATCATTTTATAAAATTGCTCAAAAAGAGGCACGTCTCAATGCAATTTTGAAAAAATGCCATGTAACTTATGCCTCACGTTGGCTTGATGCAGTGTACATCTTAATGGGGTTGAGGTGTGTCTCTGGACAACTTGTAAGAGGTGCAAGTCTAAAGAAATAGAAGTTAGGTGATATGAAAAATTAATGTATAGAATAAAATCTATTTTATTATTTCTTTACACCTGAGCCTTGAACAAACATAAAGAGAATGAAAACAAGACATCCTCAACTCCCAGCCGAACACTATTCTCGTTCTCAGAGCTGCAACTAAGAAAAAGGGCGTAGAGAAAGCACCTCAATATAGTGATTATTCTATTGGAGATCCACTAAGTAATGGAGTTGGGGAGACTCTTGAATTTATAAATTATATTCTTATTGATTTAGATTTTTTGTTTATATTGAATTGGAAGTAGGAGGGACTTATTATTGTTACCTTTGGCTTGTTATTGATCTACATTAATGTTAATAAATTTCTTATTAATTTATTGATCTAATTTTGAGACGCGCACCTTAAAATGTCTTAAGGCTTATGCTTCATCTTACGGACATAAAATACCTTAATATATGATCGCATAATTTCACATCTTTATTTGCATCAATTCCTATCTAGGATTTCAATCATCTCTAACTCCTTAAGTGGAAAGTTTGCTTTAGGGGTTGAAACTTGCACACTAACCATCTGGCTTCTCTAAAATTTAAATTGAGCTTATCTTACGTGCTATGTTGGCTGATCACCACATAGTTAGCTGAGAGTGTTTCGATCCCATCATAAGGGATTTGTTATCTTTTTAATGGTTTTCAAGTCATAATGTCTTATGTGTGGGGAGAGGTCAATGTTGTTGCTGACTAGTTTATTAAGGGGTATTCTTGTAAGTGCTCTAAATTATGAATAACTTTGAGGTATATGTAATAGTATTAAGTGCAATGCAAAGCACATGAGTTCCTTTTTTTATTAATGTGCATAGCACAAAACAATGCGGTGTGTTTAGTGATAAGACCGTTCAGTATTTGTGTGTGTATGTATGTAATTTACCAAATTTAAACTTTATAAAGTAATAATTTTTAACAAATATAGTGATACATTCGATGACAGTAGTTTCTTACTATCCAAAGTCTTAAATAAGAATTGAAAAATGAAAGAATAAATTGATTAAAGAGTAGTTAAAAATCAATAATATTCATGAGATTGAGAGACTAACTTGCAATCAAAAGGTGGAGGCATGAGGTGAGCGTGTGTGAAAATGCAGCATTTGTGTTTTAAAAAAAAAATTGAAATCTGGCTTCTCAAGGATATATCAAGTAATATTCTTGAGAAGATGCATGTGGGCTCGAAGCTATTTGTGTTTTAAAAAAAAAATCAACAAGAAGTAATTAAGAAAACTAATGTTCAAGAGAGCATGAGGAGGCAAACATTGGGAAATAACTAACTTCACTGTGAGAATGGAGAAATAATGAGCAATGACTCAATGATTATGAAAGTCAATGAGAAGTGAATGTTTCTCGAACTTATTACGGCCTAGTTTGATTGGACGTTTTTGGTGCTTATTATTTTTTAAAAGCGTAAATTTACGGTTTGGTTCATCATACCACGGTCCCAATAACAACATTTTTTTTCATTTTTTTGCTGTTTTAAGAAAGTTTTTTATATGTTCTTCTCCGTTAGAAAACTCTTTTCTCTGAACCCATGTTTCTTAAAACTATCTTTTACAAAAGTACTGGATAACCAAACGAAGCCTACATCTTATTGAATAAAATCATGAAATTTGAACTAGAAAGTTTTTTCTTTGAGCCAAAGCAATCACACAATACTACCATGCAACACGACAAAGCGGCAAGGCACACTTTGTTGCGATTTTGTGCTTTGCACTTTGCAGGGAAGTGCTGCATGGGACTAATATATTGCTTTGCATTACTCCTAAAACATGCCCTTTTTTTATATTGATGGTAACTTTAAACGTATTACTTGTATGGACTCACGGGACTTAACTTATTTAGAGACTTTACTGCGTGATAACTTGGCAATAATTTTGGTGTTATAATCCTTTTCTTGTTTCATGATTCTTCCCTCTTGCTGTTTGATTATTTATTAGTTGGTTGTATCTGTCTTTGTTTTTTCGGCTTTTTGCGTTTTGGGTCTATTTCTCCGGAGTTATTATTGAGAGCTGCTGCTTTCAAAATTTTCAATATCCTAGGCATTTTATCTCTTTCAATGAAATGGTTTCTCTGGTTATTTTTAGTGTGAGTTATGGGTTACTCTGGACGTACATTTGGTTTAGTTCACAGCCTTGCTTTTCTGATGTTTCCTTTTGGACTGTAGCATCATTTCGGAATATTGTGCTTTCAGCTTGCTGTGATGGCTTTAGGTGTCATTTTTGTTCCTCTTTATATTTGAGCTTGTTGCTTTCCAATTCTGATTAGAGCGAGCGATTCTGGTGGGTTCTTTCCTCCATATTAAATTAATTTTGTTATTAATGAGTTACTTCTTTTGTTACTGTTGGCTTTACTTTTATGTGGTTTGGAATCCCTCTGAAGAATTGGTTTTCATCGTCTCTGCTTGACTTTTTTGAAGATTCCATATATTGGTGAGGTTTCTGAACATTTTGGTTAGGATAAAATTATTGCAATATATATACATTATTGTTAAATATGTATTGCCATAGTGTAGGATTTGTTAATATGCTAAATGTAACAGGGATGCGTACGTCTTTATCAATTTCATAATAACCATGGTAGGGCATTAGTATTGATTTGTATTACATCCGCCATAAATATTTAGAAAACATGCTTATTTTTTGTAACGATAGATAATTTTTTAAATATGGATTATTTTATATTATCATAAAATTATTGTTGCATCTCACCTATGATGCACCTATACACCTATTTATGATGACGTGCCGCATTAGACACGTAATGGACACAGATACACACCTGATATGGCTCAGATACTTGTCCGATACAGAAAAAAAATATCCCATCAAAATACTATTTTAATTAAAAGGATACACGTATCGGACACATGTATCCTTTTTTATTTACGCATGTATCCATTAAAAAAAATTACTCGAGCAACCCTATTCATTTCTGTGAGCAGGGCTAGGTCATTTCCTCGAGTAGAGTTGTGTTCATTTATTCTAGGGTATTTTCATTTACTTATTACACGAGTAGCCGATGCCGAAGGCAAGACGAAGAGTCGGGATTCAGAAATAACAAGCGAGACAAAGAGCCATTGCTAAATTTTGAGCTGAATTTGTTTTTTAGATATATTGTATGGAATTCTGTCCTTTTTCTAGTCAGAGAATTGCCTCATGTGATGATTTGGGTAAAGTTTTTATTTATTTATCTATTTATTTTTAAATTAGTTGTTTAATTTGTTATTTTAGTAGTTTGGTACATGTCTATAATGATGACCTTTAAAGTTGTTGCTACTCTCTTTATGCGTTCCAGGAGGATCAGCAGGAAGATAACCATGACAGAGAAGTCACTCCCGATCTACCTAGCCCTGGGCATGATCTTCAAAGGGTAGAATCTATAGTATATCCTAAAGAGGAAGATGAATCAGTTCCCACCGGTGGAGAAATTAAAGCTAAGCAGAACGAGCAGCTAACAGCAGAAGCAGATACGGCGGAGCATAAACAGAGAGACTATGAGTCCAATGATCCGCAATATGTTCCTCGAAGGCTACATCAAAACCAGAGAGGCGGCGGTGGCGGACGGCGCGGAGGCGGTCGGAATCAGAGAGGTCACTTCAACTCCAGCAATGCACGCGGTCGCCATGGTTGGGGCGGAAATGGTGGCTACGAGAACGGGCGAAACCAGTACTATGATCATGGTGGCTACGAGAACGGGCGAAACCAGTACTATGATCATGGTTATCATCCAAGAAACTACTATAACCCCCGGCTCGGAAGGGGTGGGAGAGGTGGAGGTTCTGCCATGTACAACTATCATGGAGCTTCAGGTACTCATGGCCATGGTCCTTCAAATGTTGAACTGGGTGCAAGTGCTTAGCTGGGAAAAAAAATCTATCGCTCTAACTTCTACATTATATATTATTTAGAAATATAGTTATATATTAGTCCTCTTTAGGTTGTTTTTGCCTTCCCATCCAGTCTTAAGAAAGTAAGATTTTTGTAAATGTTGCATCGAATTTTCTATGTTTTGGGTGCTGGATTCAGATGGAATTTTGAATGGGAATTGAATGAGTTGGTGGGACTTACACTTTCTGGCTGATCTTTGCTGTTTGGGTCTTGCTGTTGCTGCTTAATTTGGTGGTAATATTAATATGGCTGACCGTTTTGGTGATTTCATATAAAGAGATTTTATCATTGGATTTGTATTTGTTTTGATTTCGCTGGTAAGAATTTGGATGTTTGTTAATGTTTGCTAGTGTGATATCGATGAATTTGAAATTTATCATCTAATTTATTTTTTATGCATTTAAAAATCAATTGATTTGTTCGGTTTTTAAATATATTTTTAATTCTTTTTCACTTGCTATTGCAAACCGCCAATGTTTGCCTATTGTTGGCTACAATTTTTTTTTTTAAATTCATACGGAAAATAGATTGATATATTCAATGGAATGGCAATCTAATTAGCTCATTGAAAGCACTAATCTCAATAGCTCATTCAACTTCCCCTAAACCCTCAACCCTACACGCTAATATTGTAGATCGTATATTTAATAAATTGTATTCTACCAGCAAAAGAAAGTAACCTTGCTCATTCAACTTCCCCTAAACCCTCAACCCTACACGCTAATATTGTAGATCGTATATTTCATAAATTGTAGTCTACCAGCAAAAGAAAGTAACATTGCTTTTCAAAAAGATAAGAGATTTGTAAATTTTTCAAAAGAGGAGAAAAAATTGCAATCTTCAATCTGTCCATAGAAATGGTAACACCTAAATAAGTGAATTTTGAAGTAGTGTTATGAATATTCAAATGATGAGAAATACTTGAGCGGTTGGGAGCCATAGGAGAGATAAGAGAGAACTCTTATTGAAGTTTGGCTGAAGATCAGAGCAGTTTTTGAAAAAAATTAAGGTATTAGTGAGATGACAGTAGTTTTGAGTTTTAGCTTTTTCAAAAAAAAAAAAAAAAACTAATAGGTCATCTGCATAGAGAAACTGTAAGATCTGAAAATCATTTATTTTGAACCCCTCAAAAGCCTCAATATGATTGCTGTTCTCAAGAAGACATGAAAGGAAATCCATAATGATGCATAAGAGATACGGACTGAGAGGGTAGCCTTGCTTAAGTCTGGAAGGGAATCCATAATGATACATAAGAGATACGGACTGAGAGGGTAGCCTTGTTTAAGTCTAGACGATGAAGAAAAAAAGCCTAGAAGAACATCATTCAAGCATAGAGAGCAATTCAGTCTAGTTATACAACCTTTGATCCATTTTATGAACAAAGGTTGAAAACCCTTTTGTTCCATTCTAGCCAAAAGAAAGTCACGAGAGACTATCAAAAGCTTTCTTAATATTATACTTAGCACAAAAAATTTCTCTTTATTACTCTTCTTAAACATGTTGAGAATTTTATTTGTCAAAATAGGATTATCAGTAGAGAGGTGCTGGTTAATAAAAGCCATTTGACTATTATGAGTGATAAGTGGCATGATGAGTTTTAACCTGGTAGCCAACACTTTTGCAATAATTTTATAAAATACATTGCACAGACCAATAAGTTTAAAGCCAGAGACATCATTAGCATAGGCTTTTTTAGGAATTAGGGTGATAGCAGTAGTCTTAATACACATAGGAAGATAGCCTTTATTTAAGAAAAATTTAACATCAATAAAGATTGTGACTAATAATATGCCAACATTTTTTATAAAATTCAAAATCATAACCACCAAGACCTTTAGTTGAATTAGAATCTCCTGAGAAATTCGCTTATCTATTTTCTTCAAAAGAGACAAGTAAAATTATATGATTTATCATGTTAGAAGGAATCACATTTCTAGTAGGTAAGGAACTAATGTCTTTTTGAATGGGAACTGGAGAATTAAAAAGTTCTTGAAGTAAAGAATGACCTTGTGAAGGTTTTCTTGATAATCAATAAGGGTCCAAAGTAACGCTGCAGACAGGAAGCTCTTGTTTCTAGAATTCATTATCTGAATTTTAGAATAAAGAAATTTTAAATCTTCTTCGTCATGAGTCATCCATTTGATTTTAGCTCTTTGAATAGTCAATGAAGACTAGATGGCAACATATTGGGTAAGTTTGGTATTTATACAACTTTTTCCTCTTCTTTTTCGGACTTCGCTCTCTTTGATTATTGCTCTCAATTTGATACTTTAGCCAGTGGGATTCATAATAATAATTTGTTTATATCCCTCATCATATAAAGAGTGCATTGCCATCTATAATATTAGTAATGATAATAACAACAACTTAATCTGGGATAAAAAGGATAAATGGGCTTACAAAGACTATTATGCGGAGTTTTTTTTTCTATTGAACCTAATTTTCATTGGGCTTCTCTGATTTGGCACAAGAAACATCCTCTTAGATTTTCTGTTTACTCTTGGCTGGCTTTTAAGGGAGGTCTTAAAATGGTGGATGAGCTTTCTAAAAGGAATATTATTTGACATCTTGGTATTATTTGAGAATTTGGAAGTTTATGATCGGGCAAGGCAGGTTCTGGTTTTCTAAGTTTTTGGGCCTTGGGCGATGATGATCACCTGTTATACCCAATCCCTTGGAAGGTCTTTGGGCAACCAGGGGTAGAGCTGCCTTGATATTTGACGACGGAAAATTTTTTTACTCAATCCAAGTTGGCTTTTTAAGCTTTTCTTCCATTGGTTCTTATTTGATTTTTGTTTGCTTGGGGTTTTTTTCTTTATTTCCAATTTTGTTTCTATAGTTGAGGTTAGTGGTGATTTTTAAACTTTGCTTTCTTCCTATAAATTTTCCATTTTATTTCTTTTTCAACATTATTCGCTTAACTTATTTCTTGATTAAGAGTTTAAGATTTTGTTTGAGATAATTTTCTTATTGTTTTGTAGAATAATTTTTTAGTATAAATCCAACTAATCGCATTTTTTAAATAGAGATAAATACTTGATTTTTTATTCTTAAATTTTTTAAGTAATTAGTTTTTTAGCAAATAAAATGAAGAATAATTACATTTAGAGGCTTTTGGTTCTTATTTGCTTCTCTTATTTCTATATTTTTTGTCTATGATAACGAATCGCATTAAATATACCTATGTCTTGATATAAGATTACTCCTTGTTATGAAACATAAATCATGTGAATGAACCATCAGTTTTAGCCTTGAAATTTTTTTGGGAGCATAAATTAATAATTTTAAAAATATTATTGATACATCATTAAAAAAATTTATCTTGATATGGCACAAATTTTGAGGCAAAATCAAGTTGGAAACTTTAAAAATTATATTTAGAACCATATGAACTCCGATTTTAGCAAACTTATAGTTGAACTGGTCGTCTCAGAATACGGCCCAATGACACTAAATTCGACTCAATTTGAGCCAAAATGGGTCCAAATGAAAGACCCGAAGCACTTTTGGAAGCTTCAAACCGCAATTTGGAATACTGAACAACTTCTAAACATGACATGCCTATAGTCGAATCGAGCGACTCGACGAGAAAAATCCAACGAGCACAAGATCTCCAAATTCTGAGGACATTAATATATTCAAATGCCTAATAAACTGTCCATGATCATGGGATTCAACATCGGTAGTCCAGTCAAACCACTCCCAATTTACACTTGATCTTCCTCCTATTTACGGGCCATGTCACTCTTAGAAATTTATAAATAGACCCCTCACTTCTCTTGGATGGGGACCACAAGAAAGAAAGCAAGAAGAGAGATCGGAGATCGCTCTTACCACTTAGCTTCTCATCAACCACCGCTCAGACTTCCGCTGGACCACCGCTCGACGCCGGACTTCTTCTGGACCACCATCTCACACCGAACTTCCATTGAACCGCCGAGTGACGCAGGACTTATGTCGGACCACCAACTATCGTCTGGACTTTCACTGGACCCCCAACTGACTCTTGAACTTTTGTCAGACTTCTACCCAACCGTACTTCTATCCTTAGGTGGACTTTTGCTCGATCACCAATTATTGCCATACTTACACCAAGCCACGTACGATCCTTTCAACCTCCGTTGCCAGATTATGATCCTTCCGACCTTCGTCACCTGCCTACTACGATCTTTCCGACATCTGTCTCCAAACTACAGCTCCTCCGACCTCCGTAGCCAGATTATGCTTCTTTTGACCTCTGTCACCTGCCGACTATGATCTTTTTGACCTCCATCGCCTATTGACTACGGTCCTTTCAACCTCCGTCTCTTGTCAACTACAATCTTTCCGTCCTCAGTCACTAGATTATGGTCTTTCCGACTACTCTCGCCCACGGACAACGGTCTTTCCGACCTCTATCTCCAGACAACGATCTTTTCGATCTCCATCACCAGATTATGATCCTTTCGACCTCCGTCGCCTGTCGACTACGGTCCTTCCGACCTTTGTTATAAGATAACGGTCTTTTCGACCTTTATCGCCCGCGAACTATTGTCATATGACCATCGTCACCCGACCACACTCTTTCCTTCCATCATCTGCCGACTATGATCCTACCGTATTTCTTTGCCACCGCAAATATCCCAGGATGCAACAAGTATCAATCTTTTGAATTAGGTTTTGGGATTGATATAAGCGATTAAGAAATATATAATGATGCAAAATGTATACTTGAGGGCATCGCCTCTATACATATCACTTGTATTTTCTAAATTTAAAACATATTATTAAATATATATATTTTTAATGGGATAAATTATAAAATAATGTTGGTTGGATAATATATTTTAATTGAATTTATATTTCTCTTATAAGTTTTCATAATTTTTTAAACAATTAAATATTTTTATGAGTTGATAATAGGCCATTTTTTAGGAAAGAGCGCATTTGATTTTTAATTAAGGAAAAACAGCGTTGTAGGGAGTAAATTTAAAAAGAAGCAAATATGCCAAAATGAATGGCGCATTCAAAGAATGCGCCGAACTGGTTGGCGCATTCTTTGAATGCGCCGAACTGGTTGGCGCATTCTTTGAATGCGCC